ATTTACAAAACAAATACATAATTAAATGTATTATCAGTGAATACATTTCAAAATGGAATGTTATAGTTACGAACCACACCATAAGTACAAGAAACCGAGTTTCTATAGTCGGCAGCGCTCGTAGCTGAGTGGGTAAGGTCTGGACTCACATGCAGGAGGTCGAGGGTTCAGTTCTTTTTATTGGAAAAAAATAAAATTAAAATTTCAAAATTAATTGCTTGGGAGTCTGAGGGGAAATGGTGGGTAAAGGTGTGCAGAAGAGTAACACGGCACGTTTGGCAAATATACATATATAGTGGGGAGAGGGGAAGTGTATAGAGAACAGTCGGTGAGGGGGCGGGGTAAGGAGGGAAACTTGAGAGGAAGAGTAAACCACTTTCGTTTCAAAAAAAAAAATCTGTCGGTTTTAAAATTCCAGCCCCCCGAGTAACGCGACATAAAGAACTTCGTTCTAAAAAAAAAAAAAACGACATTATGAGATGATGATATTCTTGGACTACCATTTATTGGATGCTGCATAGCTAAAAACTGTTTTAACTTATATTGGGGGTACTAAAAGAATCTAAAAATATATGAATCAACAAATAAAGATGAGTCTATTGTAACAGCCAATTATTTCTTAATTAATAATTATTATCAATTGAATTATTTTAAATAATCGATTTTTTATAGGTGGTGTGTATGAGAAGCAAATAACACATCCTTGAATATTTTGGTATGAGAACTATCAAGACAATAAAATTATATCAAATGTTAAGTTTAGTTTTTTTAAATAAATCAATTCATAGCATTCATCAAGAAACCATCCGTTCCCTACCATGATGAGTTGTGAATGTGATTGATTTTTAAGTTACAGTTATAAAGTTTTAGTTGTAACTGACTGACTAGTCCGTAACATGACCATGACCATGGTAGACGGCACCACTGAGAACCTAGTTGTAATTGGAGACGTAGATGATAATTAGTCCGTAACTCCGGCAGTTTCGATGTACAGATGTAGCAGTTCAAGCTTGAGAAAGAAAATTGTGTATCTTTGCAGAAAATTAATGTACCTTATCAAACCAAGCCAAATGATGTGCTCGATGAAAAATTGAAAAAAAATTTACAATAAAGCAACTGTGGATACTTTAATTAAATGAGTTAATTGTCTTTATGACGATATTTATTCATCATAATTTTTACTGCCTGGTGTCCATGAAATAATTTGTCTAATCACTCACCATGGTTGGCTTGTGATACTGTTGACTAATACACACGTACATAAAAAATAATATGCACAACTACACGAAACTATAAGTATAGAAATAGACACAAACAATTAAAAAGGTTTTGAAATTATTTGAGTTATTTATATACTGTCGTCCCTCAGTGTTATTGTTAAAAAAATGATAATGTCGAAATTAATTTACAGTTTATCTTTGAACTTTAAATTCTAAACAATCTTTTACTGAAAAATTTTAGAAAACATAAACTATAATATATAGCTGTATATGTAATGTACAGGTAATTGTAGAAATTTTATAAGTAATTATAACTATAATTGTGAAAACAATTTATAAGTCTAATTATAACTATTAATATTTGACTGTAAAAGCTAAAAGTTTTATCATGTTTTATCATAAAAAATAATTAACGAGAAGATTT